TGGTCACCCTCCTGCAATAGCTTCCAACATCACGGCTGCTCCTCCACTCACCTCAGTAACGGCTGGGGGCTCTGCCTGGCGTGGGCCAGGGCAGCAATCGCCCGGCTGTGACCAGGTCTGGGCCTCATTGCCCTCATCCCTGCTGCTGCTTGGCCTCAAGGACACCCATCCCCTGTGCCCCAGAGGCTCACATAGTCGCAAGCCCTCATTTCCCTAGTGCAACAGGATCCCCTGCCCCGGGTGACACCCCAGATCCCCAGTGCAATGGGACACCTGACAACATCCCAGAACCCCTGACTCTGGATCCACAGTCCAAGGGAACACCCCGCCCCAGCTGACGCTCTAAGACCTTGACCCCACTTATCCAGTTCAGGGAGCCCCCTGCAACAGATGACATCCCATCCCAAGATCTCTGTACCAGGGGACCTCAAACATACATGCAGCAGATGTTAATCACATCACTTAATGCACCACCAGGAGGGGCTTGGATGCCACGGTGAGAATCAATCTGAGATACACATGGTGCCAGGTCAGGCAGGCACCCCCAGGGACCTGGCTAGCATGGTGCTGCCTCTTGCATTGGTATTCCAAGCCACGGCTGCACTGCCTCCAAACCCCATCGCTGGGCTCCGACTGTTCAAGGAAAACACCCGCCTTCCCCTGTCTCTTCTTTGGCATCAGGCGTTTCCGTTGCCAAGCAACAGCCTTGAGAGGCTTTTCCTGCCACTGATCAATTTTGCCAGCCGCTGGCTGGGCCCGGGTGCCTGCTACCTGCAGCACCATCTGAGACCCAAAGGCTGGGAGGAAGGGGGCTGACGCGTGCCAAAGACCTCTCCATACCCACAGGCAGGCAGGCCCTGCATGTAAACTCCACTGAGCTGCTGCCAGCCCCGGGGGCTAGGGGTATATGCAGATGTGCCCTGGGACACTGTGCAGATGTGCCTGGAGGGTGGCATGTGCGGAGATTAGCGTGCGCCACGCACAGAGCTAAGCATGCCCAAGGGAGGCATGCCACAAGAGTGCCATGGACTGAGGGTAGCATGCAGGACGCAGTGAGATGAGCATGCATCACAGGGGGCATGTGACGAGCAGGGCACTGCAGATTTCAATGGGCCAAAGGTGTATTTGCAGGCAGTGCTGCCCCAGTGTCCCCTCCCGTTACTCTCCAGGGCCTCAGGTTGGAACCTTGGAGCTTCTCTGGTCCTGGACTGTGGGAGAGGAAAAAATCCACTGGAGACCCCCCGGTACCAATGAGTTAGATATTCGTACAAGCTGGGCTACATGGCACTGAGTGCTTCCCAGACCCTGACGGGGATCGGGGCCCCCTTGTGCCAGGTGCTGCCCAGACATCCTTTTGCTCTAGTACAGGTAACGATATAAAATTTGTGCCCTGCAGCTGGGGGATTTCCAACTCCCATTAGGGATGTAAGCAACTACTCAAGTAGTAGACTGCATAATAAGCTTAGGCTTATCGGGTGGTTGAGTCACTACTCGATTACTCGCTCCCCCTCCACTTGCTGCCTCTGTATCAGAGGTAGGAAGGGGTGGGGAAGAAGTGAGTTGTCTCGTAGATTAACCAACTACTCAGCACCATCTCCACAGTGTGTGGAGGCGGGGGCAGGAGAGGCAGAGCTGCAGCAGGGGACATGGCATGAGTTGGGACTCAGCTGTCCGGTTTGCACTGTGTCCCAGACAGCGTGGGACTGCTGAGTCCCGATTCATGCCAGGCCTCCCACTGCAGCTCTGCTTTTTATATGTAGTAAGAACCTGGTGGCTCTTACTACATTTAAAAGGCAGAGCTGCAGTGGTCCAGGACCCAGCACAAACTGGGACTTCTGAGTCCCAGCTTGCATCAAGTCCCGGACTTACCGCTGCAGCAGCTCTGCAGTTTAAATGTAGTAGGAGTCGGGCTGCCTGCGCACCCAACTCCTACGACATTTAAACTTCAGAGCTGCAGTTTATCAACTAGTCGTGTACACGATACAATTTGTACTGAGCACACGATTAGTCAATTACCTGCTTTTTACTGAGCACACAATTAGTCAATTACCTGCTTTTTAACATCCTTACCCCCCATGTTGAGTTTTTTTATGTTCACTGTTCCAACACTGGAGAACCCAGCTCATGCTTGCAAAAACAGAGCCCTCCAAACCTCAGTTAGCCTGGGCTGAATTATCAATGTTCACTCTACTCCGCACTTCATCCCTTGGCCTTCACTCGCTCCATCCCTTCCCCCCTTTTTTAACACTCCCCTTGCCAATTTCCTAGTCTGATTCTGAAGGAGACTCCCTATTGGCAGTATAGGGGCTATGACACACACGTCAGCAGTTTGGCTTTGACCAGCAGAGAGCAGCAAGGAGGCACATGAGCAACTATAATCCCCCACCACTGTGACCTGTTAGTTGTAGACTATAAGGTGACATACAAATCTCAGGAGCAGAGAGATCCAGGATGGTCCTGCAGCACGAGCTGTACAAAGTTGGGTGCTGGGAGCCGGGAGAGTGAGAAAAGGGGGCTCTCCAAGATTATGCCAATATTAGGATGGTGGGAGGAATGGCGGGAAGGGGAGGGGGAGTTTAATGGCAAATCTGCAGCAATCTGGAAGCTTTTTATAGAAACACTAAAATATCAAATTAGGGAGGAATTACAGGAGCATAATAAGGGCCCTTCATTAGCAGAGCAGAGCTGGGTGGAACGGGGGGAATACACGAGCAGGAAGGGGAATAAATATGTATGTGGCTCTTTCTCATTCCTGACGGATTCATTAGCCCAGCATTGCAGGAGGAGTTTCTCTCGCCGTGCTGTGGGCCAGGGGTTACAGATCTTAAATTATAATGATTCACGCCCTGTTGCTGGATATTGCTATTAATGTTAGGGAAGCGTCTAAAGGATCTGACTGAGATCAGAGTCCCATTATGCCAGGCACTGCTCAGACCCTGACCAGGGCTGGCAACAGATTTCGCCGAGTCCTGAGCAACGTGTGGGGGTGGGGAGCTCGGCTCCAGGGCAGGGCCACAGACAGAAGGGGCAGAGCTCAGAGCAGCTCACCCTTAGTGCCACCCAAACTGTGGAGATTTAAAGAGCCCGGACCCTTTTAAATTGCTGGGCCCCAGGGCAACTGCCCCACTGATGTCGGACCACATTGGGCCCCCATTGTGCCAGAGGCTGCACAGACCCCAACTGAGATCAGGGCCCTGTTATGTCAGGGGCTGCAAAGAATCCAATTCCTCTTCAACCTGCCAGGCTCCCAACGCTCCAGAAAATAAATACTTAGGTGGGAAAAACAGCTGTGATTTCACCTAGCACAGGAGAGGCAGCTGCCTCTAGAGTGGGACACAGGAGCTGTTAATATAGGGATCCCCCGCCCAGCACTGTGATAAAGCTGCCTTTAGGGTGGGGAGCAATCTAACCTTGGCAGGCAACAATTTAAGACAGGAAGTGGAGATGCAAGTATCCAATGAAATGACAGACCGGTTAAGAAGCAAAAGCGCCCACATACCCTGCAGCACGGGGAGTGCTGCGCCAGGGTACTGGGGCCAGCACCCCCTACTGAGCACCACTGCTCCTTGCAGCAGCACCCCCGTGCACCATGCTGGGCACTGGGATCTGCAGGGACTGAGGCAGAGTGCCCCCTCGGACCACACACTGGGGGCAGCCCCAAGGAAGAGGGCCTGAGTATGGGGGGAAAGGAGACTGGCACTGGAGTCTCCTTTAGTAACGCTTTGTGTATTGCTCTGCATGGGGATGAGAACCAGAGACGGCCTGAGTCTCCATTGCTGTATGGCAGCCCACCCAGAGCCAAGGGGCTTCCTGACTGGAGTGAATGTCACTGAAAAGGCTGCAGATCAGAGTCCGCCCCATCTGGCAATTACTGTCGGGGGGGAAGGGCAGGCAGAGGCCCCGACTCCTCCTGGGGTGCTTGGGAGTGAGTTGAGAACCAGCCCAGCAGTGTCGTGCCAGGGCAAAGGAAGAGCCATCCGGTGGGAAGGCGGATGGATTAACAGGACTCTGGCTGCCATGTGAGCAAGCCAGCGGGAAAGGAACTCGGGAGTCCCGGCTCTCGGGCCCTGCCCCCTACTCTAACCCACTACTCCCCTCCCCCCCAAGCTGGGGATAGAACCCAGATCTCCTAACTGCCCCCTGCACTAACCCCTCCACCCGCCTTTGCCCAGCCCAGGGCAGGGGTAGAATGCAGGAGGGTCATTTTAGAAAATGTTGGGGGGTCTGTGTCAGGATATAGAGCATTACGTGTGACTGTTATATCCTGTACTGGTGGTAGTGGCATAATGGAGCCCTATGAAAAGTCTGTGGGGACACCCAGCCAATGCTCTGCCCCACTATACCCCACTGTGCTCCCAGAGATGGGACAGAACCCAGGAGTCCTAGCTCACAGCCCCCGGCTCTGACCCCCAAGACCCTCCCTAAGAATACGCCAGACCATCCCAGCCCTCACCCTTTTAGGTACAGACTGAAAAGCGGGCTCCTGCGGGTCCCCTCTCCGCGCCCTTCCCCCATCACAGCGCTAGCGGGGAAGGGGCCACACAGCCCAACTCCAGGCACATAAAACTCTATCTGTGGCCAAGCCCCAAGGCCCCTGGTTTGCTGCCACTACTGTATTAGATAAAAGACCACTGGGACCAGATGCGCACCTGGCGGAAACCAGGGTCAGTGGAGTGATGCTGATTTACACGAACTGGGGATCTGGCCCCACTGACTCCAATGAAATGACACTGATAGTGACACTGCCTTACACCAGCTGGGGATCTGGCCCCTCATTGAGTCCTATGGAGTGACAATGATTTACATCAGCTACAGATCTGACCCTACTGACTCCCATGGAGTGATGCTGATTTACACCAGCTGGGAATCTGGCTCAGCCCACCCCCCTCCCCCCTCCTGACGGCTGCCCTTTATGACGATGCTGCATCATTATCCCCACAGTCTCTTTTTTCGGCTCCAAAAGGCCCCGTGAACCATAAAACAGGCTTTGCTCTCCCCGGCCCCTCTGCCATTTTAGCTGCAGGGGGCGGGGGGGCCCTGCCGGAGTCCAGCTAGCAGGAAGGACCTAGGCTCATCTTCCCGTTACACTGAGTTGCATCGCCCCGGCTAGCACAAATGCACAGCGCGCTCTAGATCTCGTCTGGTGCATCAGTGGCACAGCAAGCTCTCTCTCCTACGCTCCCCAGCAGCAGAGAGAGAGAGAGAGTGTGTGTGTGTGTCTGGGGGTTGCTCTCATACTCACACACACACACCCCAACGTTCACTCTGCTCTACACTTCATCCCTTGGCCTTCGCTCGGTCCATGCCGCACGCGAGCCAGCCCTCCCTCCCCCCCCTTTTTAACACCCCCCCTTGCCAATTTCCTAGTCTGATTCTCCATCCTTTTTGCCTCGTTACTGGAATAAACTGGCCGGCTGGTGTGATAAACTTTGCTGAGGGAGAGAGCGATTGGACACCAAACAGGTAAGCTTCCACCCCCAAATATATGTAGAGAGAGATTTGTTTGTATTGAAGCCCAGGGTGCCTGGGTTCCAAACAGATCTTGCTTGCAAAGCTGCTCCAGGATTTTCAATGATAGCGTGGTTAAAATGCCCGTGCTCCCCCATACAGATTCACTGCTCTGAATTTTCCTAGCTTGCTAAGACTTTTCTGTGATTAAAACCCCATTATGTAAAGGTCTGTCTCTCAGCTGTTAGCTCATTGAGCTTATTTACTTTTTCTGGAGAAACCGGGGTTTTCAAAAAACCTGCAGCAAATCCCCACTGCCTGTATTCTCAAGTTGGGTATTTTTTGTGCAATAGGGCAAAATGATGGAGATGGTTTTGCGTGCTGATTTTAAGGAAGGGGAGGCTTGTGTGATTTGATTTCTCTGCCCCTACTTGGAATTATTTATTTCACGCAGGGGGCAGGAAAGTGAGGAGAGTTCAGCAGACCAAAACAAAAAGGGATTTGAGAATTGGCTAATGGTGGGGGAAATGCAAGCTGCTTTCCCGTGCAAGAATGAAATAGCCACTGTGCCGTGAAGAGCCGGTTTTGCACCTGGAGAAGATGCAGGGGTGTGCATGTGTGTGTCTTTCCCATTAGACCCCCGAGTGAAATATTTGCTGTGTTCATTCACCTCTGCATGCGTGTTTCATGTTGCTTTTCATGTACCGTCCCATTCATGCATACATGATACCCATGCCCGTAGCTGAGTGCACAAACAGGGACATTCCAACCACTTAAGGAAACAAGGTGCTTACACTTCAGTGATCTTTCTGAGCAAGGCAAAAATATCTCCCTCTCTCCCCCCAGGCAGCTGGGTTGAAAACCCACAGTTTGGAGAATATCTCCCAGTTTATGCTCTGTATTATTTCCAGAGGGGGCCAGAAAGAAAAGCGATGCTCTGAATTTTGCAGCATTGCCCGATCCACGTTCAACGTTTCATTTCCTAGCAGGACGGCAAATAATCCAAATCTCAACATTGAACGCCGTGCTGGCGTGGACAGAAAGCTGAGCTTTGGGGCTTTTTTAAACTAGATCCTGCTGAGAAGAAAAATTCTCCCTGGGGGCTCTAATATTTTGCAACTTTTCAGTCTCGGCAAAAGGGTTTGGAATTCATGGTTTCCAAATGGACCAGGAAAGTTGGAAACTTTCATTTAATTAATAACATATTGCAGGGTGCTTCGACTATAGAGAAGAAGGGTTATTTTAATTCTTAAACCTGCAAGGATTTAAACAATTGTCCCCTTTTCTTCAAGGTGAAGAAATCGAAGTAACAGTTAATCCCGCTCTCTGAAAAGCTAATATTTCCCTCCTTCTTAAAGTATATTTATAAGAAAGCAATGCATGTATTTTGAATTTGGTGGACTGGGCTTCTATTAAAGCGGATGCACAGTGTTGTGTAACTCAATACACAACCTCTCCTTTGGATTTGATTTTACTTCGGATGGTGTTAGATTGATATTTTTAATAAGCTGTTTGCTTGCGACTTTTCCTGTCCCAGCCTATATTGGATAGAAAGAAGTGGTATCTATCTATTTATCTAGCTGCATTAATTCTGGTGAGTCAGTCTGGGATTGTTTTGTGTCTGCTTTTGGGGATGGCTCAATGGCCTGCAATCATAGTTCTTCCACTCAAAGGTGTTTTATGAAAACAGAAATATTATATGCATTCTATTTTATTTGGATTTGCGTTTCTCTCTCTTTCCTTTGTGGGAGTGGGAATGTCCCCCAAATAATCCTGCCAGTGGTTTTGTGTATTCAACCCATGAAGAAGCAAAAAGATTTCTTGCAGAATTAGGGCCAGAGGCCCGGGAGCTGAATTTTGAGCTGGAATTTTAAACCTGAAAGCTTTGAGACACCCCCTACTATAATCTCTCTTTTTTTCGCCCAACTCAGGGCAAGAATTGAGGCCCATGGAACTGTAGCAGCAGAAATGATCCGACAAAGTTTTTAAAAATAAAAATCAATTTTGCGGCCTTGAAAAGTGGGGAAATGTTCTGCTTTGGGGGATTTTGCGGCTGCTGTTAAAAGCTGACTTACCCAAACACTGAGTATGTGTGGTGGGGTAGAAGCCAGCCAGGTAGCTGGATTTGCTTAAGGAAATAATGTATTTAGGGCTGGGAAAAAGAAATGAAGAAGAATAGCTGCTGATGAAAGAAAAGAGATGGGTATAGGTGGCAAAGGAGGAAAATATTGGTGGCTGAAATCGATCAGTTGAAGCCTCGTTGTGTGTTTCTCCAAACTTGTGGCTCTGTTGTGGATTGAACAGGCTGGCAAATGGGAGCAAAATAGAATGGAAAAGCAAGAAATACACTTTTAGACCCCATGTCTGTATTTTTTTTTCCACCTGTGTCAGCAACACGGAGGGCCCATCTTAGATCACCATTCTGCTCTTAATCTGGGAAAGTGCCAGATCATCGCTCGATTTTCCCCATCCCTGGATGAGGGGAGAGACCCAATTCCCAGGCCCAGACTGGCAGGGGCCC